CAGGCTGCAGAGTGGTCCTCTGGACCTGGCTTTTGTCAGTTTTTCAAATGTGCTGAAGTGCCTTCTTATGTATGTATCTCGGGTTTCCTGTGGTTGGGGGTGGTAACGACACAGGAGCAGGAATATTTTCAAGAACAAATTGCCGGCGGAAGCAGGTGGCGCTGACAGCAGAAACCCTGGGTTTGGGCAGCCAGATTGGAAAATGGGGCCCCTCGACGGAGCTTTGGTTGTTTTTAGCTTCCTTAACAACCATGGAGTGAGATGAAAACCTGCGGTATTCCAGGCAAGCTCTGTTTGGAGGAAAAATGACATCAATTTCACCCTATTACCATGTGAAACAGACAGGAAGCCTCTCTCTGGTGCCCAGAGAAACTGTCACAGTGTTAGAGCACTCCCTGGTCCTCACACGCCAGCAGTCATCCCTGAGAAGCCACTGGGGGGATTGTAAACTGCAGGTGGCCGGGCCCACCCCCAGGGTCTCTGGCTCAGTGGCTCTGGGGTGGGCTTCAGAATGCATGTCCAACAAATGCCCAGGTGCTACTGCTTCAGGGACCCCACTCAGAGGCACTGTGCTAGAGAAAGAGTTCTTTACTACATGGGGGTCTGAATGGGCACCCAATGTGATTGGAGGGTGTCAGCCGCGGTCCCTGTCTGTCCTTGGGGAGGCTCCAGGTAGCACAGGTAGGTGGTGCTCTTATGAAACCCCTGCATTGGCCCTCAAACAGCTCCTCTCCGTGTGTCCCCATCACCTGCTTCTCTGGCCCTGTCTGCCCCTCCCTGCCTGTGTCCCCAAGTCGCCCAGGCAGGAGAGCTGCATCGTGGTGCTGGCAGTGGGTCTACCCGGCTTGGCCCCCAGGCTGCCAAGGAAATGTGACAAATGCAGTCAGGGCTCTGAACACTTGCCAGGACGCAGCCAGAGCTGGACGCCGGAGACAGAATTTCCAGACGATTGGCGGTGCTGTTCCTTTGCCCAACCAGGTGTCTCCCTAAACATCGTATGGCTGCCGCCTCCAGGACTTCTCCTGAGCTTGAATTTCCATGGGGAAAAAAAGACGAGGAGACTTCGTTACATGTCTTTGGGGCCTGCTGCTTTGTGTTTGTGGCTGCCATCAGATTTTCGTCTGGCTCTCCTGGCTTGGCTCTGGGTCTCCACGGAGATCCTGTGCTCCGCTGAGCTCTGTGGGAACATGGTACGGTGCCCACCAGGTGACGAGGTGCTCTAGCTGTGGTCAGGCTCCCAGATCTGTTTTCCTGGATGTGAGTACCCTAGGCACACGTCAAGGGGAAATGCCTGCCTTCGGTCTTGCTAGAGAATGTTGCTAGGGCATGAAGTTTGTTCCAAAAAAATTAATTAAATTCCAATTGTGGTAAAATACATACAAAATTTACCATCTTAGCCACTTAAAAAAAATTTTTTTTAAGTTTAGTTGGAAGAGAGAGAGAGAGAGAGAGAGAGAGAGAGAGACTGGGGGAGGTACAGAGAGCGGGAGACACAGAATCGGAAGCAGGCTTCAGGCTCTGAGCTGTCAGCACAGAGCGGGATGTGAGGCTCCAGCCCATGAACCAGGAGATCATGACCTGAGCCTGAGATGGGATGCTCAGCTGACTGAGCCACCCAGGTGCCCCCCATCTTAGCCATTTTTAAGTATGTATACAGTTCAGTATTGTTAAGTATATTCACACTGTGCAACCAAATCTCTAGAACCTTGTCATCTTGCAAAATTGAAACTCTGTACATGAAGCAGTTCCCATCTCTCACCCCTTCCTCCCAGACCCTGAAGTATGAAGGTTTTTCTTCCCCTCTGTCTCACATCCTTTTTACCCCATGGGAAGCGACTGAGACTTTGGGGCTCATGGTTATACAGGATGCACAGAACTGTCATCAGCCCAGCAAGGAGGAGATGGAACGTTCTGGAGAGGCAGATTGTTCCTATGGTTTTGCTGTCCTGAAATGTGCACTATTTCATGCAGATTCTTTATGCCTCCTTTATGTGCTGTGTCTCAGTACTGTTGAGAAGTGCTTTACTGTGTCATTCCTTTAAACCTTCTTTAAACAATATCTTTTAACATCTTTGGCTGGGGTTGACATTTTAGGTGATGAGTAGATTGCACCTTGAAGCCCTGTGCAACTTGCATTTTCTCCCTCAGAACTTCAGGGTTTCATTCTTACTATTTTTTTTTTTTTCATGTTTTGAATTGAGGTTTTCCAGTTTGGGCCCAATCCTACTGCTGAATATTTCTGGAAAAATTTGAATTGCAGCCATTGGGTGGTTCTCAAAATATCAAAACAAGGAAAAAGTTATGTGTTTTCCCTTTCTTCACCCAGGTTTGGGGATAGGTAATTAAGACATGACTTCAGAATTGGCCTACAGATGGTCCAGTGTGAAAAAAAAAGAAAAAGAAAAAAAAAAAAGAAAAAAACTGCTATTTTGTTCTTGAGGGTAAAAAATGGGGGGTGGGGATTAAGAACAGAACAACTAAACGTGTTCTGTTTTTCCTTGTGGGAAAGAATATTAAATTACACAAAGATTTTATTTTGCTTTAATAATAGTTTTCAAAGAGTAAGATCTAAGCAATGAGACAGCTAATTCCTTTGTCACACAGATGCTCAAACATCATGTGTGCCTGGCTTCTGACGTTTGTATGCCAGACGCTGTGTCCAGCTTCATGTGGCCTGAATTAACGGTGACTGCCCTGTCTGCTCTGGTGCTTGCTTTATGTTGCCACCGATGTACCAAGGAACACAGTACCAGCTGGAGAAAGTTCTAATGTCCCTGCTGCAAAATTCTGCCTCCTAGATTATGTCTGTCAGAAAGAAAACAAAGTAGAATATTCAAAACCATGTGAAATAAGAGAAAAAGAAAAACTGTATGATCTCACTTATATGTGGGATCTAAGAAGACTGAACTCCTAGATACTGAGGAAGCGATGGCTGGTTGCCAGAGAAGGGGGTGGGCAGTGGGCAAAGTGCACTTTTTCAAAAGGCTCTCCTCCCTGTTCTCTCTATATCTTAAACACCTACATGATCTACCCCTGGGGCACCCCCTACCTCCTGCTTTGTCCATGTTACAGGAAAGGGAGCCACGGATCCTCACATTCAGTGGGCTTTTCCCATCTAGGTCAACTTTGATTCCTCTGCCTTGTTTGAGATTTCTTATCTCTCTTCCCCTTGAAACGCTTTCCTTTGATTTTTTTTTGATATTGAGGTCCTTATAATTAGGTTCTACCAACAAGAGGTGCAAAACTGAGGGACAAATCCTCTTTTATTGCTGTGCCTCTATCTCCATGACGTGCCGTGGTTGGAATGAGGACTTTAGGGAATAAAGAAGGAATATGGTCTTATTGGCTGGACAAGCCTGGATATGAATTGGGGTCATTGTTGACTGACTGGGGGTATTGAGCAGGTGGTGTTATCTTGGTGAGCTGAGGGTGGTGGAGATAATGTCAAAGAGAAAAAACTTGATGGGTTGTGATGAGGGTTAGAGATGACACAGGCTGGCACATGGCAGATGGCTACAGGCATTGACCTCCCCCCTCCCCTACATGAAGGTCCCTTTCAACCTCCTGCATAAAAGCCAAGAATGGGAGTTTTGAGTTTTCTATCAGAATCGTCTAATATCCATTCCTCCTTTCAGAATCTGCTGTCCTATATCTTTTTAACAACTGATTTCCAATCAACAGTGTGCCTTTCCCTCCGCATCCTCATCAACACTTGTTATTTCTTGTCTTTTTCATACTCATCATTCTGACAGGTGTAAAGTCATATGTCATTGTGGTTTTGATTTCCCCTGATTGAGCATCTTTTCGTGTGTCTGTTGGCCATCCATATGTCTTCTTTGAAAAAATGTCTGTTCACATCATGTGCCCCTTGGATTATTTGTGGTTTTTTGGCATTCTGACTGATTATGATGAACTGAAGTCCATAGTTTATTCAGACGTCATTAGTTTTTATCTAACATCTTTTCTCTGTCCCAGGATCCCATCCAGGATACTGCTGTATTTTTGTTAATTTTTATATTTACACCACATTTCTTTTTTCTCTCTTGACAGGTGTACAATATGTTTCAGCACCAGAGCCTTGGAAGTAAAGTGAACATCCAAGTTACCAAGCTTGTCCTGCTACGACAACGGCCTGTAAGTCCCCAGGGGTGCCCTTTAGAGTGTGCAGATGGTGCAACTGGTCTTGAAGTTTCCTGCTTGCTGTTGAGAGCTCAGGAGGTTGTCAGGCTCCTCTGTGGTCCCTGGCTTTGCAGATGGCAACAGCATGCCCTGGGCCAGGGCCTGGGGATGTCCAGAGCAGGGAGGGCAGGCACTGTGACTCGAAGCTTGGTGTGCACATAATCTGCTTGGAATCTCGAGGGAGCCCTGAGCAGTGGACCTGTGCACATCCTCCCTCCACCCCTAGCACATCTCACATGTGCAATCTGGATGGGGAGGTCTTTGGAAGCCCTCTGGAGCTTCCAAATTTGGATTCACTGTAGAGTTGTTTTCTGGTCTTTCAGTTGAGTGCATTCCCACGTGATAACGTCGCCTTGCAGAGGCAGGCAATGAATTTGATAATGGGAGACTAATGCTTGGTTGGGTACACTGTTCAGTTTGCCAAAAAAAAAAGAGAGAGAGAGAGAGAATAATAACATGGTCTTCATTTGAACTTACAAATAAGGCCCTGGTGGCCTCTCTCTGGGTCTCTGCATCTTCCATCTTCCTACCGGCATTAGGTTTGTATCTGGAGGAAGCACATCATCGAATGACATCCCAACAAGCAGCTGTCTCCACACTATATTCTGAACATGAACTCAGGCTTCCCTGGGTGTTTGCTTCTTTAACTGCCCTCCCCCACCCCTGATTTACTTTAGGCCAAATTGTCCATCGGGCACCATGGTGAGCGGTCCCTGGAGAGCTTCTGTCACTGGCAGAATGAGGAATATGGAGGAGCCCGATACCTCGGCAACAATCAGGTTCCAGGAGGGAAGGACGATACGCCCCCTGTGGATGCTGCTGTGTTTGTGACCAGGTACAGCTGGATTTGGTCTGTAGCTGGAAATGTGATGGGAAAAAGACATTTCCCTCTTTGGAGGGGAATAGAGGGCTATTTGCTAGGAATTCAGGCTTGGAAATCAGACCTGGGGCCGCCTCTCAGAGCCTCAGTTTCCTCATCAGTAAAATGGGGATAAATGATAGTACCTATCTCTGAGTTATGAGGATTCAGTGAATGTGGGAAAATGCTTTTCTTTTATTTTTTTTAAATGTTTATTTAATTGAGAGAGAAAGAGAAAGAGAGAAAACGCTAGTGGGGGAGAGCAGAGAGAGAGAGAGAGAGGGAGACAGAAAATTCAAAGCAGGCTCTGCAATATCAGTGCAAAGCCTGATGTGGGGCTTGAATTCACGAACCACAAGATCATGACCTCAGCTGAAGTTGGACACTGAACCAACTGAGCCACCCAGGCATCCCTGGGAAGGGTTTTTCACAGTGCCTGGCCCAGAGTAAGGGCATGATAAATGTTAGCCATAATTTCTGCTATTGCTATTATTAGTATAAAAGTACTGAAATCCTGATTACCCAGGAGTCCCAAGCAATTCATCTATTACCTCTCCCCTGCACCAAATATAATGTTCACTGGGAAAAAGCTAACTCGTGTTTGAGGCTGCCTCCAAACTGGCTTAAACACACTATTATGGGGGCCGCGGATACCCCGAGTTCCTGTAGGAGGAGGTCCACGTCGGCACACGTGTGCTGTGTGCAACCCCATCCACGGGACCCTCTCAGGACAACAGCAGTGGGCAGAGATGCCTGGGGAATTCACATGGCGGTTCTACTTGAAGTAGGGAGCTGAGCTTCTTTCTAGACTACAGAGGTGGACTTTTCCAGACTGAGAGGGAAACCAGGGGCCAGCAGTGGACAACAGAAACCAGGGACAGCCTTGTTTCCACATAGGCGGCAGCAATGTTATCTTAGTCTGCCAGGGCTGCAGTAACAAATTACCACCAACTGGGTGTGTCAAAACAAAAGAAATTTAGTCTTTCACCATTTTGGGGGCCAGAAGTCCAGGATCAAGGTGTGGGCAGGGCTGTGCTCTCTCGGAAGCTCTAGGCAAGGATCTTTCCTTTTTCCTGACTTCCAGTGGTTGCCTGCAGTCTGGCATTTTTGCCTTGTAGATGCATCATTCCAAACCTCACCCTTGGAATGCTAAACTTCCAAGGTCACTACTTTGAAAGTGGTTTGTATCAAAACTATATAAAATGTACAGGTTCTGATGTTCGTGAGAACTTTCCCCATGTAGTGTCTTCCCTGAAGTTTCATTGCTTGGCTGGGTCAAGAAAGCACAGGCAAGTGGTCTTGGTTTGGGAAGAATAGCCACTGCTCCCCTCCCCTTTTTTGTCTAGAGGCAATAATAAATGTCACTGAAATCGGTGTTGACAAAGCTTCTGGATGAGCTCTTGCACAAAATGCCATCTGCAGACGTGAATGCACCCTCAGCCTGAGAAGGCTTTCTGGCTTTCTTTTCTTTTTCCTGCTTCCAACAAGCCTATTTACTATATTGGAAATATTTGGTATAAACATGTTGGTTTTCTACATCTCACACCCATCAGGATGGCTGCTACCAAAAACAAACACAATAATAAGTGTTGGCAAGGATGTGGAGACATGGGAACCCTTCCTTGAGCACTCCTGGTGGGGCTGTAAAATGGTGTGGCTGCTGTGGAAAACAGTATGGAGGCTCCTCAAAATACTAAATACAGAATTACCGTATGATCCAGCAATCCTGCTTCTGAGTATATACCCAAAAGCATTGAAAGGAGGGTTTCAAAGAGCTATTTGTGTACCTATGTTCCTAGCAGCATGACTCATAATAGCTAAAAAGTGGAAGCTGCCCAGGTTTCTTTTGATGGATGAGTAAACAAAATGTGGTCCATCCATGCAACGGAACATTGTTCAGCCTTACGAAGGAAGTATGTCTTGTCACATGCGACAGCATGGATGAACCTGGAGGACATTAGGCTAAGTGAAATACACCAGTCATAAAAAGACCAATGTCGTATGATTCTATTTACATGAGACACCTAGAACAGTTAAATTCCTAGACACAGAGTGTAGAGCTGGAGAGAAGAAGGAATAGGAAGCTAGTGTTTAATGGATATAGTTTCAGTTTTGCAAGACGAAAAGAGTTCTGGAGATTAGTTGCACAGCATTATAAATGCATTCAACATCACTGAACTGTACACTTGAAAAACGTTTTAAGAGAGTAAATTTTATGTTCTGTGTAATCACAATAAAACAGTTTACAATTTTTTTTCTGGTTAAGCACCTGGGGGGGCCGGGGGTGGTGGTCCTGAATGCATGGGGGTGGTTCTGAGTATGGGTGCTGGGGAGGGGGGGATGTCTGGTGGCCCCGAAAAGCAAGGTTCCTTCCGCTGCAGGCAGCACCAATGCAAAGGCATCCTACATCTCGGTTCCCCGAGGCCAGCTTGGGTCTGGGATTCTCTTTCTCGGTTTCATGCTGACATCTGATGAACTACCTGAGCAGTCGAGTTGCTTCCTCTCACCTGCTTCTGCAGAGCTGCTGGACCGAATCGGCCAGTGCCCAACCCGCTCTGTGGGTCCTCGCAGCTGTTAAATGCAAGGCCTCCCAGAAGGACAGGGGAGGCAGCGCCAGAGTCGGGGCTGGGAGCCGAGTTGGCTGCGAGGCATTGTTTAATAATTAGAGGCCGAGAGCTGCAGTTCCTAGGTTGGGATAATAACGGGCTGATGTTTTCACGTGGAAATTGGGTGCGAGACAGCAGCTGCTCTTGAGAAACAGCCCCTTCCTCCTGGAGTAATCTGAGCTGAGGGTCTAATCACAGCTTGCACAGGCCAGGAGGTGTTTGGGGGCCAGTGTCCCCCAGTCCTGGGACTGAGACTGGCTAATGCAAGGGTTTCTTCTCTGCCCCCCTCCCCCCCCCCCGCTTATGCGCTGTGGCTGAGCCCTAGAGTGCATTCTCCTGGACATCCACCAGCCCTACAGATGGCCAGCCGCAGAGATGTGAGCATGACATCATGTCCAGCAAAAGCTGCTGAGCCAGAAGCCACAGAAGCTGGCTTTCTGGCAGCTGTGGTCATGTCTGGGGCTAGAAAACACCTCTGAGTGAACTGAGTCTGGGACCATGTGGGACCCACACAGAGGACTGGGGTCCAGGAGGCTTCAGCACCTGGCACAGCTTTACCTTTGGCCGTGCATCTCCCTCAGGAAGCCATGAAAATAGGATTTCCCCCCAAACCCAGCTCTGTGCTCCTGGGAAGCACCTGGAGCAAACATGCAGGGCCAGCTAGGAGCTCAACCACAGGTACACCTCCTGCCATCCCTGAACCTTCCCCACCATGTAACTCCATCCCACTCCCCGGGAATCGTCTTCTCTTCAGACTTTGACCAAGAGGGTCTCTGGCTGGCTTTGCTCATGGTGAGGGCTCAGTGAGTATCTGTGGAGCATCATGTTACATTTTCCTGGGGTTTCCAAACCAGGAAGCTTGCTGGGCACGTTGAAAGTGGTCTGGAAATGTACGTCTGCCAATAATAAAGGAGCCACTATTTATTAAGCCCCAACTGTATGCCAAGGCAATCGGTTATGCACAGGATTAGCTACATAAATTGTGGGGCCCAGTGCAGAAGAAAAATGCGGGACCCCACATGACAAAGACTTTCAAGATGGTGATAGCAGAACAGTAAAAACCATGTTGCAGGACGGGAAGCTTGTGAGCACACAGGCACGAAGCACACCAGGTCACAGAGGTCCACAGAGCCTTCTCTTGAGGAACAAGCGGCGGAAAGGGAATAGACTAGAGACTGTAGAGTTGCGTTGGGACCTCACTTGAATCCTACAGCCCCTGAAAGTGGGTTTGGCATGAATTTGCGGTGGGAGCACCTGAATATGAAGCTGCCCCTGCAGCAACATGGCTTGTGTTTTCTCTTCTGAGAAACAACCTTGGCAGGAAGGAGAAAGAAGAGTCAAATTTTGGCTGACTCTTTTAAGCCAGAATTTTTTTTTTTTTTT